ATGTTTCACAATAAAAGCCTTCCAAGCAAAGTAGAAGCGAGTGGAAGGAATCAAGAGTTCCAGTGATCTGATGTTTGAAGGCCTGGGAGGAGGTGGAACACGCCACACTTCCTTGTGGCTTGAGTCTCTCTCCAACTTGGTTTTAGTTCCTGTGAAACGTCCGAACCTGCTGCTTCTCTGAACACTTTATATTCTTCTGACATGTAGCTGCACATCGGCTGAATCTTTACACAGAAAACGTCCTTCAGACTTTAAATGACGGACACCAGGTGGATCCGCTCACCTGGCAGCCGTCCGTCCAGTCAGGCTTCTTCATCCGGAGACGGGAAGTGAAAGAAAAGTTAGCAGAGTTATTAAGAATTAAACGATTTGAGATGATTTTATTTATGAAAACTTTCTGTAAAGTTTCCTCCTTTATGAACGTTTGGGGAACATTGAAACATGGCAGCGTTCTCAGTTTAGTTAATTATTGATGTTTTTCATGTCACTGGTTTTCAGTTTCCCGTCACCGTCTTTGGCGTTGAGGCAAAGACAATCTGCATACTAATGAGAAAACCCTTCCTGAGGCAGCGTCCTCTCTGACGGCTTCCACGAGTCCACACGACTGTTTCTGCCGTCGGTTTTCAAATAAAACCAAACGTTAGTTAGCTGACGTGTGCAAGCTAACGTTAGCGCTTGTTCCAGCGGATCTCTGCCAGCGTGGCGTCCCTCAGTCCTGGTTCTATGTGAGAAAACAGACGTAACACACCTGCAGTCCTGGAGTTCAGGTGAACTCATGGAACCCCAAAGAGTTTAAAACTGAAAAATATGAAAAAACATATCAAAATTTAAGAATAATGAATGCCAGAGTTTCGTTTTTCAGTTTTTGTTTTGAGTGCCATAATGTAAAGGAACTCGGATTAGAACATGTGACCGATTTGAATATGATCAGTAAATAATGAAATATTATTAGAAATCTGACCATGTTTATGTTTCTACAATCGAAAATGAATAAAACCAAAAAAACTCAGTAAATTAATAAACATCCTAATAAATAATACAATTTAAAAATTAAATTATTCAATTGATCTTTTTTTATCTAAAACTCCTCCCCCTTAATTACCATATTAATTTATTTTTCTTTATGATTTTCAATTTATTAATTCAGTTTTTATATATATATTTTTTATTTATGCTTTTGTTTTAAGGTAATTCAAAATTATAAAGGAAATCTATTTATGTCTCACTGGATAATTTAAAACCCCTACATTAATATATTGTAGTGCATTTAATAGGATTTTAATTTGCGTCACCTTTGTATTGATTTCTTATTTATTAATTCTCCTTTATAATTTTCGATTATATCAAGTCAAATATAATTGAAAATTATAAAGGATAATAAATAAGTAAGTATCATGTCTCATTGTATACTTTAATTTTCCCCTACATTCTTTTTTTTTAATGTATTTTTGGTGCATTTAATAGGATGTTTGTTTATTGAGCATTGTTTTATGTCTGTATTCACTGATTAAATGTGGCAGACTCGGCCCTCCATACTAACTCGAGCTCCAGGCGCGATTATTTCTGTAGAGACAGTTCAGGTTGTCTCACTTTTAAATAAACTTTCTTTTAACGTCTCAAATCTTAGTTTGAAGATGAAAAATAAAATATAAAGTTTAGCTTGATGGGAAACGAGCTCAGGGAGGTCAGTGATGAAGAGGAGGAGGAAGATATAATAACACTGACTCTGATGAGACTAAAGTGACAAACTGCAGTTGGCTCCACTATGAAATACTGTCTGCTGAAGCTCAAACTGGTTTGTTTCCGTCACTTTGTTCTCTTTAAACGTTTAAAGCCATAAAACTGATTATCAGGAGCGAAGCGACGCCCGGTCAGGAACCGACGAGGTAAAAAGTCACCTGGGACAGCCGCGTGTTGTCGCCTCCTGCAGGTAAAAACAGGAACAGCAGGTTTAAACTTGCTCGCTGCTCGACGCATGAAATAAACACATTTAGTCAAAGCAGCAGAAAATATTTATACAGCATCAAATATTAATGATCGCATTTTAACCACCAAGTATATCCTGTACTCCTTTCAGTCACGTTAATCAATATTTATTCAGTAGCAAACACTTTGTTCCAGGTTTGGTTTTATAAAAACCTGAATAATTAACGTAGGTTTTTGAGACTTCTGCAGATGAAGGAAACTGCAAATACAGAAAAGTCACCTGCTTTGTGTGACCTTTTATTGTTAGCTCTAGACTTAGCGTTAGCCCTTTCCCAACACCTTCGCACTCCCGGCTCCTAACATATGGACGCTGGGTCAAGACCCCATGGCGGCGGCGGCGCTTTTTAACTCCCTGCTGTTGTTTTTGCACCTGCAGGGCTCGGCGGTGAAGTTAGCAACAATATATATATTAGGGCCGCGTTATAACCGTGTGCGCCAGATTCACCAGACGCTCTAGAGTCTACTTCTGCTACTATTTAGACCCTTTGACGCACTTCCTGCCTCCTGCTGCGGCCGTGGAGATGAACAACAACACACTTCTGAACCTGAATGCCGCTTTTTACTTTTTAACACTCACGGACGTCTCCGGCGACGAGTCAGAAGCAATAGACGGGTTTCTGTGCAGCGTCATCACCGAGATGTCCAACCAGGGGGCAGGAAGCAGCGCTCTGTCTTCACGGAGGATCACATCCAGCTGCCGTGTCGAGTTAAATTAAAAACCAACAACTTTACTTTCCTTATTATTGGCTATTAAAAGTAAACAGTCCCGTTACAGTTACTTTCAACCGCCGCAGCCGTCCTTAAAGTGACAGAAAGCTGTTCGTTTTAGAAATGAATCCACTTTAGTGGAACAATCGTGAACCTGAGGAGGCAACGAGCGGCCGAGCTGAGAACACTGCGGCCTGCTGGATCCTACAGGCCGTTTCAAAGTAATCAAAAGCAAAGCAGCTCCCCCCGACTTTTTAACGGATCGCGTCTAAACAGCGGCATCATTTTTACCGAGCATGTAACGATTTTAAAAAATCGAACGTTACTGTTCTGCACACGCGTTCGTAAGAGAACGTTGATTGACCTTCACCGGCAGGACCGTTAGCTGCCGGTTCCAGTTTCGCGTTTCTTAGCAGATGCTTCAATACAAAAGCTTTTTGCAGGTCTCACAACGTTTACAGAAGTCCATGTTCTCTGAGTGTGACTTGATTTATTCTCCTGCGTAGGGGCCACGCATTTATACTCGCGTCCGTGTCTCCGTCAATCTGCAGTCACACCCAAACGCTAGTCGGCAGCAGCGTTTTCAAATGTTACCGACCGAATGGATCACATTCTGGTCATTTCGCTCGGGTTGTGACGGTCAAATATATCGATCCACCGCGTTACAGCCGCCGTTTGGCCGCTAGTAAAAGTTAATTCAAAGCACGGCCACTTCCTGTCGGCTCGGAGGCGTAGCGAGGCTACCCAGCCGACCAATCGCAGAGCTGACGGTCCGCGTCGACTCGACGTGTAGTTACATTTTTGATGAGGTGCACGTCAGGCGACGGCGTAGGGCAGGGCGCTACGCAGAGTCCACGCCGTCGATTCGACGCAGAAGTATAAATTGCGCTGAAGTCAGGCCTGATGGCTTCCAGCTGTGGAAAGAACGCCTCCTTCTTCCTTTAGCTTCTTGGCTCGCAGCTGAGTTAAACAGCACGGCGTCCGGTGCCGCCGAGCTGCGGCGCGGTCACACGTGTTCTGTTAATATGCAGATGAAACGACTCTGAAATGGCAGTTTAACCTGCGTGACCTACGCCGATTACAGTCTGACCGGCTGCCGAAGCGCTTTGGCCCCCTGACTGCGCGTCCAGCAGGGTTTGTATACAACAAGCCGTCTACTCAGAAGGAAAGTCACATGTAGTCTCGTTAACGGGCGATCACTGGACGTTACACGCTCATCTTTGGACACAAAGATGATTTGATAAAATAACTAGATAATAAGAAATAGTTTACATAGTTAATACGGACTGAAAAACAGTTTTAATCACGAGTAAGAGAAAATGAACCGACAGCCCTGAACGGCTTAAAATAACTTCTTTAAGTTAAGTAATGCTACTAAAAACAATTAATGTTGACCGAGCGCCGGTCTGCTACGACGCCTCCTACAGCGACACAAACCGGCGCCAAGGGGTGTTGACTGAGCCTCCGTATGTGACGACCTGGAGTTGGATCGGGCCTTTTCTAATCTAATCTATCGCACAAACTGAAGTCTAACATTGACTAAATTGTTTATTAGGTTATAAAACAGTAAAGCAACAGGAAAGCTGATGTAGATTAACAGGACGTAGTGACTGCTTCCTGAAGCTGCAGGGCGTCGAGCGCTTCGTCTTTCACGCTCGGTCACATGTTGCTGCTGAAGAAGCGTCTAAAGGAAGATTCACAAACTTCAGGTTCAGAGAAGGATCGGAGACGATTCTGAGGATCAGTTATGTTTTTCGGCCGCCTGACGGGTTCGACATGTTCAGTTTCACATCCTGAAGTTTTCCCTGAGGTGATGCGATTGGCTGATCCGTGAGCGTGTAAGGAGCGTGAATCTTTGTCTTTAACTTCCTGTCAGCTGCGTTCTGATGTTTCTCATGTAAATGACTGTACAGACAATAATCACATGTAAACTGATCATTTAGAAATTAAACAGCTGATGCAGAACCTGAAGTCTCTCCTCATTGGTCTGAAACGCATCAAGTCAGTTTCACCTGCAGGGTTCAGCCACTGGAGGGCGGCGGTGAGTCGCCGAGCTGCTCCGTCAGCTGCAGGGAGTCAAACTGGTGCCACGTGTTCAGTTCAGAAAACTCTGAAATCTGAGCGGTCAGAAAGTCTAATTCACTCGCCTGTCAGCCGTGATGTCATCGTGATGTCATCGGTCTGTCAGCGTGAACTGATGAAGACCCGATCAGGGTCGAGGTCCTGGTTTCTCTGTGAGCGGCCGACAGGAAACGGAAGCTGCAGGTGTTTCTTACCTGAACACATCGAGCCGACGAGAAGAAGAACAGTCTCCGTCTCACCTGTCTGTCCGTCTACGTCTCACCTGTCTGTGCGTTCGTCCGTCTATGTCTCACCTGTCTGTCCGTCTACGTCTCACCTGTCTGTGCGTTCGTCCGTCAACGTCTCACCTGTCTGTGTGTCCGTCCGTCCACATCTCACCTGTCTGTCCGTCTAAGTCTCACCTGCCTGTGCGTCCGTTTGTCTACCGTCTCACCTGTCCGTGCGTCCATCTACTGTCTCATCTGTCCGTCCGTCCTCTCCTGCAGCAGCAACAACAGGATCGATCTTCTCTCGCATCACGTGAACTCGTTCAGACATCTAAAACTCTGACAGCGAGCAGCTCTTCACTCCACAAAGATACCTGCTGGTTTGTGTGACGGCAGCCCGACGTCAGCTCCGGCCTCCTATTCGCTAAATACAGAGCGCCGTACAAAACAGGAAGTGATGTTCGGGACCACGACAGACTGCAGCGTCACTCTGATCTGTGACATCACAGAAGAACGAACGTGATTTATTTCACTGATCAGAAACAACCCACAGATATATTGATCTATGACGCTAACAGGTTAGGTGAGGATTAGCTGCTAGTTCAGGTAACACCAGCTCCCAGATCAGATCAGCAGGACTCTGATCACAGTTTGTTGTCTTAAACAGGTCAAATATTACAGTCCACGTCAGCTGATCACTGCAGCATCAGTTCTGTGTGACACCGTTAGACCTGAACAGCAGGGGGCGCCGCTCACTTCAGTTTCCCTGCAGGTACTGAACAGAAAAGGCCTCCAGCTGAGTCTCCAGCTCCGTGGCTCTGTTCCTGAAGCAGAGAGGAAACTTTAGTTCAACTGGATTCATCCGGTTCAGTCAAGCTTCCAGTAAGAAACACAGGAAGTCGTTTTTTCTTTACATTCTTTATAAGTGTTCACTACATTTATTTAACAGCATTAGTGACTTTACAGGGAGCGTTTTGTTTTCACAGGACATGTTTTATATGTGTGATTCAGTGTATTTATGGTGGAATTAAAGAAAACTGGTTGTTAAGTCTGACACCTTCCCCCACCTGAAGGCCTTGGACCTCCTCTGGATGTTCTCCAGTCTCTGGATCCTGAAGCTCAGCTGCCGGATGTTTCCCTCCAGCTCAGCTTCACTCAGATCGACTCTCTGAGTCAGACGGCTGAATGTGGACGACAGCTCCCTCAAACACAAACACAACAGGCCAGTTTTAGTTTCACACTCAGCAGGTGTTCGCTCGCTCACTCAGTTTGTGTCGGGGGGGGGGGGGGTCTTACTTGTACACCTGCTGGCTGCAGGCGGAGCTGCAGACGGGGATGACGGCTCTCAGGCGGTGGGTGGCGTGCTCCACAAACTGCTGCTTCAGAACGCGCTCTCTGCTGGCGTCGGTCCAGGTGAGTTTCTCGTACAGGTAGAGGAGACCGTACAGAGAGATGGAAAGAGCGATGAGACGCCAGCCCACCGAACGCCACACCTGAGACACAAACACGTCACGCCTTAGAAACAAACACGCCATGCCTGAGACACCGACACGCCACGCCGCCGACAGCAACACGCATCAGACAGCAACACGCATCAGACAGCAACACGCCTGAGACACCGACACGTCACGCCTTAGAAACAAACACGCCACGCCGCAGACACCAACACGTCACAGACACCAACACGCCTCAGACACCAACACGTCACAGACACCAACACGCCTCAGACACCAACACGTCACAGACACCAACACGCCTCAGACACCAACACGTCACAGACACCAACACGCCTCAGACACCAACACGTCTCAGACACCAACACGTCACAGACACCAACACGTCTCAGACACCAACACGCCTCAGACACCAACACGTCACAGACACCAACACGCCTCAGACACCAACACGTCTCAGACACCAACACGTCACAGACACCAACACGCCTCAGACACCAACACGCCACAGACACCAACACGCCTGAGACACCAACACGCCTGAGACACCAACACGTCACAGACACCAACACGTCACAGACACCAACACGTCACAGACACCAACACGCCTCAGACACCAACACGCCTCAGACACAAACACGCCTCAGACACCAACACGTCACAGACACCAACACGCCTCAGACACCAACACGCCTCAGACACCAACACGCCTCAGACACCAACACGCCACAGACACAAACACGCCTCAGACACCAACACGTCACAGACACCAACACGTCACAGACACCAACACGCCTCAGACACCAACACGCCACAGACACCAACACGTCACAGACACCAACACGCCTCCGACACCAACACGCCACAGACACCAACACGTCACAGACACCAACACGTCACAGACACCAACACGCCTGAGACACCAACACGTCACAGACACCAACACGCCTCAGACACCAACACGCCTCAGACACCAACACGCCTCAGACACAAACACGCCTCAGACACAAACACGCCTCAGACACAAACACGCCACAGACACCAACACGCCTCAGACAGCAACACGCCTCAGACAGCAACACGCATCAGACAGCAACACGCCACAGACTCCAACACGCCTCAGACACCAACACGCCTCAGACACCAACAGACACCAACACGTCACAGACACCAACACGTCACAGACACCAACACGCCTCAGACACCAACACGCCTCAGACACAAACACGCCTCAGACACCAACACGCCTCAGACACCAACACGCCACAGACACCAACACATCACAGACACCAACACGCCTGAGACACCAACACGCCTGAGACACCAACACGCATCAGACACCAACACGCCTCAGACACCAACACGCCACAGACACCAACACATCACAGACACCAACACGCCTGAGACAGCAACACGCCTGAGACACCAACACGCCTGAGACACCAACACGTCACAGACACCAACACGTCACAGACACCAACACGTCTCAGACACCAACACGTCTCAGACACCAACACGCCTCAGACACCAACACGCCTGAGACACCAACACGCCTCAGACACCAACACGCCTCAGACACCAACACGGCTGAGACACCAACACGCCTCAGACACCAACACGCCTGAGACACCAACACGCCTCAGACACCAACACGCCTCAGACACCAACACGTCTCAGACACCAACACGCCTCAGACACCAACACGCCTGAGACACCAACACGCCTCAGACACCAACACGCCTCAGACACCAACACGGCTGAGACACCAACACGCCTCAGACACCAACACGCCTGAGACACCAACACGTTACAGACACCAACACGTTACAGACACCAACACGTCACAGACACCAATACGCCTCAGACACCAACACGGCTGAGACACCAACACGCCTCAGACACCAACACGCCTCAGACACCAACACGTTACAGACACCAACACGTTACAGACACCAACACGCCTCAGACACCAACACGCCTCAGACACCAACACGCCTCAGACACCAACACGTTACAGACACCAACACGCCTCAGACACCAACACGCCTCAGACACCAACACGTTACAGACACCAACACGTCACAGACACTAACACGTCACAGACACCAACACGTCTCAGACACCAACACGGCTGAGACACCAACACGCCTCAGACACCAACACGCCTCAGACACCAACACGTCACAGACACCAACACGTTACAGACACCAACACGTCACAGACACCAACACGCCTCAGACACCAACACGCCACAGACACAAACACGGCTGAGACACCAACACGTTACAGACACCAACACGTCTCAGACACCAACACGCCTCAGACACCAACACGCCTGAGACCAACACGCCTCAGACACCAACACGCCTCAGACACCAACACGGCTGAGACACCAACACGCCTCAGACACCAACACGCCTGAGACACCAACACGTTACAGACACCAACACGTTACAGACACCAACACGTCACAGACACCAATACGCCTCAGACACCAACACGGCTGAGACACCAACACGGCTGAGACACCAACACGCCTCAGACACCAACACGCCTCAGACACCAACACGTTACAGACACCAACACGTTACAGACACCAACACGCCTCAGACACCAACACGCCTCAGACACCAACACGTTACAGACACCAACACGCCTCAGACACCAACACGCCTCAGACACCAACACGTCACAGACACCAACACGTCACAGACACCAACACGTCACAGACACCAACACGTCTCAGACACCAACACGGCTGAGACACCAACACGCCTCAGACACCAACACGCCTCAGACACCAACACGTCACAGACACCAACACGTTACAGACACCAACACGTCACAGACACCAACACGCCTCAGACACCAACACGCCACAGACACCAACATGTCACAGACACCAACACGCCTCAGACACCAACACGCCACAGACAGCAACACGCATCAGACAGCAACACGCCACAGACACCAACACGCCTCAGACACCAACAGACACCAACACGTCACAGACACCAACACGCCTCAGACACCAACACGCCACAGACACCAACACGGCTGAGACACCAACACGCCACAGACACCAACACGCCTCAGACACCAACACGGCTGAGACACCAACACGCCACAGACACCAACACGCCTCAGACACCAACACGCCACAGACACAAACACGCCTCAGACACCAACACGTCACAGACACCAACACGTCTCAGACACCAACACGTCTCAGACACCAACACGCCTCAGACACCAACATGCCACAGACACAAACACGGCTGAGACACCAACACGTCTCAGACACCAACACGCCACAGACACCAACACGCCACAGACACCAACACGCCTCAGACACCAACATGTCACAGACACCAACACGCCTCAGACACCAACATGTCACAGACACCAACACGCCTCAGACAGCAACACGCCACAGACAGCAACACGCCTCAGACACCAACATGTCACAGACACCAACACGCCTCAGACAGCAACACGCCACAGACAGCAACACGCATCAGACAGCAACACGCCTCAGACACCAACAGACACCAACACGTCACAGACACCAACACGCCACAGACACCAACACGCCTCAGACAGCAACACGCATCAGACAGCAACACGCCTCAGACACCAACACGCCTCAGACACCAACATGTCACAGACACCAACACGCCTCAGACAGCAACATGTCACAGACACCAACACGCCTCAGACAGCAACACGCCACAGACAGCAACACGCATCAGACAGCAACACGCCTCAGACACCAACACGCCTCAGACACCAACATGTCACAGACACCAACACGCCTCAGACAGCAACATGTCACAGACACCAACACGCCTCAGACAGCAACACGCCACAGACAGCAACACGCATCAGACAGCAACACGCCTCAGACACCAACAGACACCAACACGCCTCAGACACCAACACGCCACAGACACCAACACGGCTGAGACACCAACACGCCTCAGACACCAACACGTCACAGACACCAACACGTCTCAGACAGCAACACGCATCAGACACCAACACGCCTCAGACACCAACACGGCTGAGACACCAACACGCCTCAGACACCAACACGTCTCAGACACCAACACGTCACAGACACCAACACGCCTCAGACACCAACACGCCTCAGACACCAACACGTCTCAGACACCAACACGCCTCAGACACCAACACGCCTCAGACAACAACACGTCACAGACACCAACACGCCACAGACACAAACACGGCTGAGACACCAACACGTCTCAGATACCAACACGGCTGAGACACCAACACGTCTCAGACACCAACACGTCTCAGATACCAACACGGCTGAGACACCAACACGTCACAGACACCAACACGTCACAGACACCAACACGCCTCAGACACCAACACGGCTGAGACACCAACACGTCTCAGACACCAACACGTCTCAGATACCAACACGTCTCAGATACCAACACGTCACAGACACCAACACGTCACAGACACCAACACGCCTGAGACACCAACACGTCACAGACACCAACACGTCTCAGATACCAACACGTCTCAGATACCAACACGTCACAGACACCAACACGTCACAGACACCAACACGCCACAGACACAAACACGGCTGAGACACCAACACGTCTCAGACACCAACACGCCTCAGACACCAACACGCCTCAGACACCAACAGACACCAACACGTCACAGACACCAACACGTCTCAGACACCAACACGCCTCAGACACCAACACGTCTCAGACACCAACACGCCTCAGACACCAACACGCCTCAGACACCAACACGTCTCAGACACCAACACGCCTCAGACACCAACACGTCACAGACACCAACACGCCTCAGACACCAACACGCCTCAGACACCAACACGTCTCAGACACCAACACGCCTCAGACACCAACACGCCTCAGACACCAACACGTCACAGACACCAACACGCCTCAGACACCAACACGCCTCAGACACCAACACGCCTCAGACACCAACACGTCACAGACACCAACACGCCTCAGACACCAACACGTCACAGACACCAACACGCCTCAGACACCAACACGCCTCAGACACCAACACGCCTCAGACACCAACACGCCTCAGACACCAACACGCCTGAGACATCGACACCTGGCCAATAAATTGATTTCACGATTAATTTGGATTTATTTGAATTTAACGTTCAAAGGTGTCCTTCACAAAATACATCAACAGAAACGATAAACAGATGAATCAATAATGAAATGCCTGCGGGACGTACCACCCCCGACCACCAGCACGGTCATCGACGCCCGGGAGGTGACGGAGACCAGACCTGTCGCTATGGAAACCACCATCTCCTCCTTAAAGCTGGATCTTTCCTGCAGAGAGAAACGATGTTGATGTGTTTTCATTGTGTGAATGTTTTAAACAAGGAAGGTTTCTAGCACGGTACAAACCTGCAGTCGTGGGTCGGAGCTGCTCAGTGCTCGCTTGGCCTTGGTGGTGCCGATGAAGCGGGTGACGAGGGCGGTCCAGCCCAGAGAAAACTGGAAGTTGATGTTTTCACGGAAATCTGCACAGAGGGTGGCAAGGCCGAGGTCATAGGTCAACTCGAAGGATGAGGAGGGAGCAGAGAGCTGCTCCTGGACGGACAGAGACAGCAGAGGACGGACGCTATCTGAGGACAGAGGAGACACACAGCCGTCACGCTGCCTTTTCATGACGATGAAACGTGTAAACAAAGGGAGACGTTGTACCGATCATCTGTCTCTGTGCGTCTCTGACGTCTCTGAGGACACTGACAGAGCAGCGATGCGCCAAACAGCCGACCATCCTCTCATCCACGTGCTGCAGCAGCTTCTGAAGAGGACAAACAGAGACGTCTTTATCAGCTTCATGTCTGACTTCAGAAGATTTATATCAAACTAACAAATAACCAGTGGTGGACAGTAACTAAGTACATTTACTCAAGTACTGAAGTACAAATATATTTCTACACATCTCAGAGGAAGATTTTGTACTTTTTACTTCACTACATTTATCTGACTGCTTTAGTTACTTTACAAAGTAAGATTTATAATAGTTTAGATTTTTTTTGCTGAAATTACTCAATTTTAGCTTCAATTCTTCAATTTTAGCATCAGTTTTAGCTTAATTTTTCTACTTTAATTCTAGCTCAAATTCTTAAATTTTGACTTCAATTCCTGCTTTAATTCTACACCTGAAACCATTAGTTGATTGACCGAAATTTAATTGGCAACTATTTTGATAATAATTTTTTAATTTTGTTTGTCAAGTCAGCAACCCGTGATAAACATAACCATACTAATAGTACTTTTGAAAATTTATGAAGTATTTTTAAAAGCAGATACTTTTGTACTTTGACTTGTTAGAAATTTAAATTTTAGATGAGGGTACTTTTACTCAAGTAAAGGATTTGTGTACTTCATCCTCCACCGCAAATAACGCATTATGATGAAGATGGCTATTTTCTTTTGTCTTTTCAAGTTCAAGTTTATTTATCAGTGATTCTTGAGATCTGGGACAAAACATGTCCACCAGTTTGGGTAAAACATTTACATAATATTATTCATAAATTTAACTAGAAAACTAACAGGACAATTTTATTTCATATTGTTTTATATATTTTTTTATTATAATTATATAATATGTGACGAGTGCCTGTAAAAATCCTTGTCTGGAAGCAGGTGTCATTACATTACAATAGCTTAAAAAGAACTAAAAGTAATGCAAAATTAAACATTATACTTACTATTTGTTAGTAGTTCAGTAAATATTTTAATAGGTATCAAAAGTTACAATCTGAAATAGATTTTAATGTACTTTTTAGAAGATTCAACTTGTGTCCTAGATTTTTGTCAACACTGTCAGACATTTTTTTAAATAAAATTGAAGGCTGCTAAAACTCTTTGTCACTTCCTTGTTCTTTCTAATGCTAGGAGACCACTCCAGCTCCGGTAAGTTGTTTAGATTCTATATATTTCATTCCTACTTGTTGATACCTTGCATGTCACAACCGTAGTGTGTCAACACCATAATTAATGTAATGCAAGATTTGTATCATGTTTTCTGCCATAAATTCTTAATCTATGTAGATTATAGAGGTCACAAGCAACTCATGATAAACAAGATGGCTCCTGTGATGAGCACACGTGTTCTGAGGGGAAATATGCTATTTTGTCAACTCCGTCAGGATTTGTGTCCGACGGTGTTGACAAATGCCAGTGAAGTGCATTATTTTAGTATATATTTACCTCCTGAACATTTGATATTACTGTAATTCAGTTTTATGTGTTGAATTTCAAGCTATTGCCACAAAATAGCTTTATGTTTTGAATTGAATCTCATTTTCAAAGCCTCTCAAGTACTCAATATGTCATAATGTGTTGCTTATGCTAATCCATCAGAAAAGTATATAGTATATATGGTGTATATAAATATTTACAATAAAAATAAATAATAAATTGGGATTTAATTTACATGACCCTTTATTTAACTGACAGAAGTACAAAGAAAAGATTTTCAATAGTTTTACTGATCAATGTAACTGTAAATTGTAAATATAAACAAAGTTTAGTGAAATAAATGTTGAGCCAGAGGCTTGTTTACCTTTGGGTTACCTCACCTTTCCTCGAATAACAACTAATCGTTTGGCAAGTGAAGATACTAATTGTGCCAGTTTTATAATTGGAATGTTTGTTATTTCCTGCTTGATAGCTGCTCAACAGTTTGTGGTCGTTATTGTCTGATTCTCCTCTTAGTGATGCGCCGTATATTTTCAACAGGAGACAGATCTGAACTGGCGGCAGGCCTTTAAAAAACACGCAATCTGTGTGTACGAAGCCACGTTGTTGTAGCCACTTTATTCACAGGCTTTTTGGAAAATATCCCAACGTTTCTGGAGATGAGGTTTGTAGTTTGTGTATAAGCCGCATATATTTGAAGAGGTTGGACTTTACAGTGGAGTTATGTTCATGGACTATTGTCTAGTCCTTGTACTCCTTTGAGATGTTAATCCAAAAAAAGATTGGTTATATTATGTATTTTGTTCGTATCTTATAATGTTACAATATTTGTAAGAGTTTAATGATAATTTGAATGAAATATTTTTCTGTTTCTTACAAGTTTGTCACCACCGTCAGTTTTGTGTCAACACCGTCAGATGGAGTTTATGTTGTTTTAAAAAAAAAGATATATTTTGTTCCATCGAGAATATTTCTCTATGACATTGTTGCATTTTCAAAGTGAATTTGTAATTTGAACACTTCTAAGTATCTCTGTTCATATTGGAGATTAAATGTTATATTGGTTAATACATAGAACTTAAACCGTAATTATTAAACAATGACAAATCTAACTTTTAAAAGGAGATACGATTCATTTAAAAACATGTGTATACAATGAAGAGAACCAAGAAACAGTTAAGAGTAAAAATATCTGTGATAAGGTCATTCAAAATAATGTTTTTGACGTTTCTATGTTTCTGATGGTGTTGACAAAAATCTAGTTCTGATCCTGCAAACATGTCATTTGACAAAAATGTAAAACTGGGAGGTTGTTCTAAAACATGAGCAAAGCCTCATTTAACAAAGATGTATACATGTTTTTTTGAAAATCATCAAGTGTTGTTTTGTCCCTGATCTCAAGGGTCACTGTTATATAGCACATTTAAAAACAACCCCGGGTGACAAAGAGTTTTCCACTTTTGTAACATACTGGAACTAATAAACATAATATTTAGTTAATAATGTAAACTGTAAGAAAACACACACACTGTCAGTCAAAACATAGACTTAATTATCTGTCCCCCAAAAACAATGTCCCATGTCTGAACTATACTGTCACAGTACTTTTCTGCTCCACCAATCAGAGGGTCAGGACAGCCTGTCTGAGAGGCAAAGAATCAAAACACACCCTGCATGTTTGTGCTGTAAACTGGATTGGAAGTAAAGCAGCTTACTGTGTCGTCAGTTCCTCTGAAGCAACATTTAGATCGAGTGTGACTGTGTGTGTGAGAGATAAGCTTCAGGCAGGTGTGTTCAGGTACAGTGAGGTCGCAGAGTCAAAGAGAGTTTAAAGGAACTGCGTTTAGAGAAAGCCTCTCTGTCGGACAGAGCTACTCACGCAGGTTCCTACCACCTCCGGTCTTTGTGCTAAGCTAGGCTAAACGTGCCGGACTGAAAAGGCAGCGTTAACTTTGAACCTTGTAGCAGAGGTTGACTGTATGTGCCAGTGACAGTAGTGTTGCTGCAGCACTCACAGTTTTGTAGAGCTCCAGAGTTTCTTTTGTCGGGTTGAAATCGGCTCTGAACTCGTCCACCAGAATAGGAAGAGAACAGATCTGATCGGACAGCGCCGCCGCCACCTGACGACGAACCATCCACACAACAACATGAACACCAGAGACACAGTCCTGCTGGACCCTAACTGTGGCTATAAAGAACATTTTACACTGGTGTTTAGTGATAGATCTGCGAGAAAAGCTGGTTGATGTACATAATATATAATGAACACGCTGTAAAAGCTAAACGTCTTTCGGCTGATGTGTGTGAACATGATTTTGCACCTTGGCAGCGACCTCATCCGCCAGAGTCTTGATCGTCTCTCTGACGTTGTTGGTCAGACGGTTAATTTGTCCCCGAACAAAGTCCAGCCGGTCCCTCTGGTCCTCACGCTCCTCCAGGCAGCAGATCCTGTCAAAGGTCAAAGTCAGAGACTCTCTGTGACTCTAGAGAAACGACTCTGTGGACATTAGTTGCTCCTTTTGTTAAAGAGGAAGTGCGTGAGTTTGAGTTCCTGACTTCCTGTCGGCGGAGGCGATGTTGATGGCGTCCATCAGACCTTTGATGGCCTCGGTTATCTGCCACGCTCTCACTGTGTGCTGTTCAAACTTCGTCTTCACTGCAGACTGAGAGATGAACTCCTGCAGGGTCAAAGGTCACCAGGGGTCACATGTCTCAGGCTCAGTTTAATCATCAGTGTTTCTGCCCAACTGAAATACTGCGTTTACATAGTATATACACTGAGTTTTGTGGTACCTCAAACGTCCTCTCAAACATCTGGAACTCTCTCAGTCTCTCATGGAAACCTTCAGCCAGAGCGCCACCTACAGGAAGACACAGGTCTGAGTCAGCAGGTACCTCCAACACATTTAGACACCAATGTGCAAATAGGGCCCAGATTTAAAAATACCTGAATTATCCATGAAATTCAATTTTAGCTTTGATTTTTACTTAAATTTTAACGTAAATTCTCCAAATTTAGCTTTAATTTTAGTTTAAATTCTTAAATTGTGGCTTAGATTTTTACTTCAATTTTAGCTTAAATTCTCCAAATTTTGCTTTAATTGTAGCTAAATTTTACACATTTAAAGAAAGAAATCATTTACATACTTCAATTTTAATTTAGCATAAATTCTTCAATTTCAGACTTAATTTTACTCAATTTTATCTTAGATTTTTATAAATTTTAGCTTAAATTTTAAAGCTTAAATTCTTCAATTATAGCTTTGATTTTAGCTTAAATTCTGGCTTAAGGTACATGTATACATGTATGCTTGTATGTGCACCTGTATATCACATCCACCTCCGACATAATAACAACAACAACAATCCTTTGCAGTCTGCTCACTGCACTATTGTCTCAATCTGTCTGTTTAGTTTATAGTGTGTATTTATGTGTTCTCTGTACTACAGCCTGTGTTTGATTTAATTACTGTATTATTGTGTTATTGTATTATTGTATGAGTAAGCACATTGTGAGCAATGTACAGTCCAGAGTCAATTCCTCGTATGTGAACACATACCTGGCAAATAAAGCTGATTCTGATATTTAGCTTAAATTTCAGATGAATCTTTCAAAATTTGGACTCAATTTTAAATCAATTTTGGCTTAAATTCTAGCCTTAATTCTTCCATTTTAGCTTTGATTTTAGCTTAAATTCTTCAATTTTAGTTTCACTTTTAACTTAATTTTTATCTTAAATTTTTCAATTTAACTTAAGTGTCTGGTGGGGGGGTGATGGCGTAAAGATAAGATGCCTTCCTTTGATGTGGGAGACATCCACCAATGTGTCCCTGAGCGAGACTGAGCGAGCATTTTAAGTCGCTTTGTAATTGTAAGCGTCAGCTAAATGAATAAATGTACATGTAATGTCTGAGCAACAAGAGATTTAGGTTACTAAAATATAAGAGAGAAACAGAGAATCCTGTTGTACACTGCACAAATGACTTAAACAATAACTGACTGAACTGTTGCCAACTCATTTTTGCGTAATTGACTCCTGGTTTCAGCTCTTTAGTGACTGTGTATTCAGAAACACAGACTGGGTGAAAACAATAACGTGCGTCTCAGAAAATATTTATTTCCGCTGAGTGACATCATAACTTTCTGACAATCATAATGACTGTATTATAACTCCATGTTGTCGTATGCCTTGCAAAGGGCAGACCTGCTCTGTGTGAAAAGCACAATGAGATCAATTCTATTATAAAACTTTGTAATTGTAATATACTAAATACACATTTAAAGAAAGAAATAATTTCAGAATAGCCTTATGGTGAAGAACGCGCAGAATAAAGAATAATAATAACAGCTCAGTGTAAAATTCTCTGGACACTTTGAGAAGTCTGTGTTGAACCTGATAGACACAAACATCAACAGTCTGTGTGATGAAAGGAGGCTTCTCCTCCTGATGTCCCCCACCTGGCTCACCTGGCTCACCTGTCTCAGGCATGCCCTGCGCTCGCTGCATCCTGGAGCTCAAAACCTCTTTGGCCGAGACGAAGAAGATTCTCCCGGGCGCCTCGTCCATCCCGACTACCTTCAGCTCCTCAGCCAGGAAACTCACACAGCGGTCCGTGTGCTGCTTCCTCACCTGGACAGCAGAGTGAGGACACAGAGAGGACATCCCAACTTCCTGAACTGCATCCATGTTTCCCTCACATCTCAGTCGTTACGAAGACACGATGAAAGAATGAACAATCGTCAGTTTGACCTCGGCCCGAATGTTTTCTCACATGTGACTGAAAATAAATGATCTGCATAACAATGTATGTGATATAAATTAAAAAACAAAAAAAACATTTCTAATGAAAGAAGTTGTTTGTTGTTCTTTTGTTTATCAAACCAATTATATATAAATATACACAAGTTTAGTTATTTAGTTATCAAACAATCCAAGGATTTTCTGTTGTCGTGGTGACAAAGCCAGCGTTTGAAAGGACAACTCTTACGTTTGTGCACCAGCTTCACATAAAAGCAGCTGCTGGAAAGTTTGAGTTTAGACTGAGGCTGGGTTGGTCACACACCCACCTCCTCAATGTATTCAGGTTCGCTCACTGAAGCGTCCCATCTGTTGTGAAGGATGAAGATATTCGGTTTGGAGATTCTCTCACTGACTTTGTGGAAGAACAGTTTCTCCTGCAGACAGAAAAATATAACATGATATAATAAAAGACTTGTATAATAAATATGTCACACACACACTGACTGAAGTCATTATGATCTATAATCTATGATGTATGAGATCTTCAGGTGTTCCCTCACGGTGTTCATAAGCGTCGACTCAGCGTTTCCCACCAGAACAAAAACGTCAGCGTCCAGACAGAACTTATCGATCCAGCTGTCCAACTCCAGAGTGACATCAGTGCCAGGGCTACAGAGCAGAGGTCAGAGGTTAAAGGTCAGAGGTCGAGGAGCAGAAAATGTCCCACAGTGAGGCACACTGAAGCTGAAATTGAAGCTATAATGAAAGTTAAAAATTCAAAAATTTTAACTGAAGCTAAAATTAAAGTTTAAATTGAATTTGAAGCTAAAATTTAAGTAAAATTTAAAGTGAAGCAAAAATATAAGGTAAAATTGAAGAATTTAAGATAAAATTTAAGCTAAATTTTAAGAATTAAAGCTAGAACTGAAGAAAAAAATGAAAGCTAAAATTGAAGAGTGGAACCTAAAATTGAAGCAAAACTATAAGCTAAAGTTATCCAACGAAGGTTAAAGTCCAGGGCAGCTGGACTTGGTTGAAGATACTGGAAGACGTTTCGTCCCTCATCCAAAGGACTTCTTCAGTTCTGACTGACTGGCAGGGAAACTCAGCTATTTAACCTCAGTGGGGTCGTTGGCCCGGGTCATCGATACCGCTGGTTCGTTAGTGTTCCTTGTTGCTGTGACGACAGTCGTTACAGTCGTTAAGACTACCTGTGGCCGAGACTGAACGACCATCGTTGGTATCTTCACCTGAGGCCAATAGGTTACGTTTGTTGAGTTTCCTGGGAAGTGATGAAAGGACAGCATTGTAAGTGGGGGATAAGTGGTGGCGTAGACCCCCTCCCCTGTTCAATGACGGCTTCTCCACCCTGGTGTAGATGCTTCCTTAACACCTCTTTCAAACCATCCATCTTCTCTGTCTAAAGTCCTTTTGGATGAGGGACGAAACGTCTTCCAGTATCTTCAACCAAGTCCAGTTGCCCTTGATTTTAACCTTTGTTGGATAACTATGATCTGGACGACTGAGAATCTTCATAGACAACTATAAGCAAAAGTTGAAAAATTTAAGCTAAAGTCAAAGTTAAAATTGAAGAATTGAAGCTAGAAATGAAGGAAAAATTTGAGTTAAAATTGAAGAATTGAAGCTAGAAATGAAGGAAAAATTTGAGTTAAAATTGAAGAATTGAAGCTAGAAATGAAGGAAAAATTTGAGCTAAAATTGAAGCTAAAATTGAAGAATTCTAAAACTAAAGCTAAATTTGAAATTGAAGCAAAAATTGAAGCTAAAATTAAAATAGGATTTGAAGCTAAAATATAAGTTAAAACTGAAGAATTGAAGCTAAAATTTAAGTAATAATTGAAGCTAAAATTAATTAAAAACTGAATCTAAAATTCAAGAATTTAAGCTGGAATTTAAGTAAAAAAATTAAAACTAAAGCTGAAGAATTTAAGATAAAATCAAAGCTAAAATTCAAGAATTTCATCTAAAATTAATGCTAAACTGAAGCTAAAATTTTAAATTTAAGTAAATTTAAAGTGAAGTAAAGCAACTCAGGTTGATTGTCTTGCTCAGGGACATGTTGATGGATGTGTCTCAGTGGGAATTAAACCTGTGTCTTTCACACCAAAGCCATGTTTCTTATCCACTCACGAAAGCTAAAATTGAAAGCAGCTAGTGAGTCAGTGACGAGTGAAGTGAGACAGCCGTCGTCACGGATACAGGCAGTCTCGTGCAGAATCTAAACACAGATGCAGGCCTGACAGCGATCAGTAAATCCTGAGCGGTGATGTGAAGTGAACAGCACTAGGCGTTCTAGCGTGTTACCTGTCCATCAGCACCAGGTCGTCTCTCAGCAGAGCGCAGCGGCTTTTAGGCCAGAAGACTTTAACCAGACTGCCAGAGTCCAGAGTCGGATCCATGTGGAGAGCATGTGCCAGTTGGTTCACCGTCTGAGGAGGAGGAAAAATGTGGAGGAGTTATCAGTAGGTCAGCTGATTCAGACAGAACATCACCAGAATAAAAACAGTCCGACATCTCAGTAAACCCTCAGATCCGTTTCTAAGTCAGGGTTCACCGACATGTCCGACTGTTCCTTTAAAGGCCGTTTGTCGTACGGTGACGCTCCTCCTCTCATTGGTCGCCTCGGTGGTGAGGTAAGCCTCGTCTCCGTCGGTCCCTTCAACTCTCAGGAAGCAGTTGGTGGTGTGACCGATGCCGCTGGGCAACACTCGGTCTCTCAGCATTGCATTTATCACGGTGCTCTTCCCGTTACTGGTCCTGAATCAGACACATTAACCGCCATCAGTTATTGCACAGCAGCTGTCATTTATTAAATTGGTGTTTTATTACGACTTCCTGTGTGAACGGCATTCAAAGGCTGCAGTGGAGCAGATTCTAAAATCTGTAGCAATTCAATAACGAGTAACTGCAGCCATTAAATAAATTCACTCAACTCAAAATTGTAAGTAATAAGTGCTTAATTAATTTAAGCCACTGTGAGTGAACCTTGAGGGTGAAATTGAAGTTAAAATTAAAGTCATAACTGAAATTAAAGCTAAAATTCAAGTTAAGATTGAAATTAAACTGACAATTTTTTAGTTGAAGTTAAAACTGAACTTAAATTGAAGCTCAAATTGAAATTAAAGTTACAACTGAAGTTAAGTTGAAGTCTGTACAAAAAAGCTCCAGAAAAAGCCAGTAAGTGAACCTTAGTCGGGATTATTTTGTTGTTGTAATTTGAAACTATTTACAACACAAAGCATGAACTTCAGAGTTTAATTTTAAAGTTGAATCGGAGAAGCTGCTGTGCTTTCCTCAAGAAACTAAACAACTTCTTGATTCTTTTTACTTTTCAAAACATCATATTATATTTGTTGAGCTGCTCCTGTTTAATGGACATTGTTTACTGTCTCAGCACTGCGTAGCTTTAGAAACGCTACGGAAGCCCTGAGAGCCAAATGAGAAAAAATATTCTGGTGTCTGTTTTTAATAGTTTTATCTCCTGTGTTTTTACCTGTTTGTTAATAATTCAGGCCACATTTCAGTTTGATTTTACTAACTTTGTTTATTCTCATTTGTTTCTTCTAAGTCTAAAACTAACTAAAAAAAGGATCAAGAGTTTATTGTTGTAATACTCCTTTCGGCCACAAGAGGCTGTAGTGCACCACTACCCCAGTTCAAACTTGGACTCACAGCATTCATGTTTTATTCCTTCTATTATTATAAACTATTTAGACTTATTCTCAGCAAGTGAGAATATTTCCTAAAGAAATACACAAAGTCAAGTAAGTTAAAAACAAACTGAATTGTGGGCTGAATTATTAAAAACATGTAAATTAGTTTACAGGGAAACTCACTTCCTGATGAGTTATTACATCATCCAGCAGTTATTACATCATCCAGCAGTTATTACATCATCCAGCAGTTATTACATCATCCAGCACGCCCTCAGCTTCTTGCTCATCACATCTCGGCCGTTAATACTCCGAATGTGTTTCAGCCGAAGCAGGAAGCCGCAGCAGTTTGTAAATCAGAGATAAGTTTATCTGACAGTTTGTCTCAGCAGCACGACTCAGCAGAAAAACTGATCTCAGGTCAGCAGACAACAAACTTCTGTGACTTTCCCCTGCTGTTCTTTGACAGTTCAGGTCGTTTGTGCTACTTGCTGTTTTACTGTCTATCTGACTAGTTCTTCTTTTATTCTCGAACTGAAGCGCTCAGTGTGAAACGCGAACCGCTCTGTTTCAGTTTTGATGCTTTCTGTAACTTGTTTCACTGTGACGTGATATTACAGAAAAGTACGACACTAACGTTGTGATATTGATTTACAGTAATATGAACGGATGTTATCGCCGTGTGGATATGAAGCGTGGTTACCGCCTCTCCCATAGCAACCACTTATCACCTGACCCCTTCCTGTACTTTTACCTGCCGAAGAACGCCACCTTCATGTGCCTCCTGAGCAGGACTTCTCTGATGGTCGACAGTTTGGTGGCACAACTCTGCATCTCCAGACTCTGCTCCTCGACGGCCACCTGACCCAGCTCGTCGCCCCGCCACGCCTCTGACATCACAACAAACAAAATACCGTTATCGTGGCTGAAAATATCCGACGATGATCAAAGTTTCCAGAGTTGCTGTTACAGAAAATCACAGCTTGATTTCATTAAACTGTTTCTTCTAGATTCTGTTCATGTCATCACACATGTTCTTCTGTCCTTTGTGAAAGAAGTTAAACTCAATCGATGAGCTAGCATAGCCCGATCTCTGGTCTCTGTTTGACCTCTGGCGGTTCATCAGAATCAAACTAATAAATGTGCCAGCAAGTGGCGACTCACGGGTTCAAACCTTTCCACAGCACAGCGATTTCAAAATACTTTCAGACATGTTGTTCAAAATTTGTTTTGAAACGAGTTTTCTGATGACTGGAGAACTAATTTATGATCCATTAGGTGTGCAGCGCTGACTTAACGTGATGCATGCATTGGCGGTGCTGCAAAACGTCATTAAACGACAACGACGACATTAAAACCTCGCGGGAGAAAGGCGGCTGCAGGCGCCAAGTCCGGCGGCCACAGTTAGTTTCCCCGACTGCACCAAGCTGGAACCACACTGTTGCCTGATCAGTCACTGATCTCACAGTAAGCTCACGCAGGTAGACTGTGTCCGACTTGACGGCGCCGTTTTTATTCCCCGCCCCTGCAGTCATCTGTAGCTCATGCTAGACTATCAAGGCGAAAGTCAGCCGCCGGCATCCTGAACGCACCTATAGTCTAATTTGTGTTATGCCCCGCCCATTTCTTGCATTTGTAGCGCCCCCTAGTGGTCGATGTGAATGAAAGGTTTCGGGTGTGTGTCCGGTACAAAGTGGTGGTGATGACTTTGGTCTATCTATGTAGTGAGCCCCCCCTCCCCCCCGACTCATCAACAGCTTTATAGTGAGCCCCTCCTCCCCCGACTCATCAACAGCTTTATAGAGAGCCCCTCCTCTTCCGGTGGACCTTATTTTGAACAGTCAACGAATTTTCCTGAATTACACATGTGGTGTTTGTCAGTTTAAAGACAATATAAATCAGCAAAGTCGGCTTTTAAGAGCAGTTTGGAGTTCTGTTTCCTGCTCAAGGACGCTTTGACATATTATGGCTTTGACATTGGCAGACCGGAGGACTCAGGGATTGAACCACCAACCTTCTGCTTACAGGACAACCGCTGCGCCTCCTGAGCCACAGCGAACTCCACCAGTCACGTTATGTTTATATCTCACTTGGGATTAGATAAAATAACTTTAGCTCACGCAGACTGACCCACACCTGAGAAACCACCGGCACACCTGAGCCTGTGTGTGTGTGTCTCACCGTCCACGAAGGCGGAACCGTCCTTCACAAAGTCCAGCAGCTGATCAAAGATAGAGGTGATCGAACGCTTCGCCACAACGAAATGCTGCAGAGGAGACGGATCCGCGGCGTCCATGACACCTGACACACACCCATCAAACAGGGTTACACACACGTTAAGACAAAACACACACTGCCGGTCTACAGGTGAACACACGCAGAGCAGAGCGCGTCTGTACCTTGTTCAATGTGTCGCTCGGGTTCAGAGGTCAGTCGTGTCTTCGGGGATTCGTCTCAAACGAGTCGCGGTCAGCTCCCATCATCCCTCTGTTCAACACATCGACCACATCAGACTCACAACTGATCCTCAGCACGCAAAGCTCAGCTTACTGTGTGTGTGTGCAGACAGATCCTCTTAGCAGGACTTAGAGCTGCTTCACCTGACTCACCTGCAGCCTCAACCACCTGCTCACGCTCACAGGTGTGTTTTATTCAAGGTTCATTAACTCTGTTTCAACTATTTTCCTTCTCGTACTTTAATATTTTAATAAACACCAGGATATTCTTTCACCGTAACTGTGCACACATGTATGGAAACCCATTTCCACCAGTAAATGTTTTTAGGCAGGATAATAAAAAATGCTCATGTTAAGTCAAAATTATGAAATTTTATCTCCTAAATTAGATTTTTATCCTCCTAATTTTGACTTATTTTCATTTTCTCTTATAATTATGACTATCAAACTAATTTGACTTATCTTCCCCAACATCTCAGAAATTTGACATTTTTCATTTCAACTTTTGACCTCATAATATGACTTTATCTCCTAATTTTGTCATTCTTTCTCATAAATTTCATAACTTTTTATCTCATAATTATGACTTTCCCCCCCTCATAATTATGACTTTGTATCTCCTAATTTTGACTTTTATTTCATTATTTTGACGTTCTTTCTCATAAATTTGACTTTTAATTCAACTTTTTATCTCTCAATTTTGACTTTATCTCTCCCAATACTAACTTTGTCTCATAATGTTGACATTCTTTCTCATATCTTTGACTTTTTTCATTTAAACTTTTGACCTAATAATTATGAATTTTTATCTCCTAATTTTGACTTATTTTCATAATTATGAGTTTGTATCTTTTCATCTTATAATTATGACTATCTCCCCAACGCTTTCTAATAAATTTGACGTTTTTCATTTCAACTTTTGCCCTAATAATTATGAATTTTTATCTCCTAATTTTGACATTCTTTGTCATGAATTTGACTTTTTTTTATTTCAGCTCGACTTTTATTTGCATAATTATGACTCCCCCCCTCCTAATTTTGACTTATTTTCATTTTATCTTATAATTATGACTATCAAACTAATTTGACTTAACTTCCCCAACATCTCAGAAATTTGACATGTCACATTCATTTCAACTTTTGCCCTCATAATATGACTTTTTATCTCATAATTATGACTTTTATTCACATAATTTTGACTTCCCCCCCTCATAATTATGACTTTGACTTTTATTTCATTATTTTGACATTCTTTCTCATAAATTTGACTTTTAATTCAACTTCTTATCTCCCAATTTTGACTTTATCTTTCCCAATACTAACTTTGTCTCATAATGTTGACATTCTTTCTCATATCTTTGACTTTTTTCATTTAAACTTTTGACCTAATAATTATGACTTTTATCTCCAAATTTTGACGTTTTATCTCCAAATTTTGACTTATTTTCATAATTATGAGTTTGTATCTTTTCATCTTATAATTATGATTATGAATTATTATCTCCCCAACACTTTCTAATAAATTTGACGTTTTTCATTTTAACTTTTGCCCTAATAATTATGAATTTTTATCTCCAAATTTTGACATTCTTTGTCATGAATTTGACTTTTTTTTTATTTCAGCTCGACTTTTATTTGCATAATTATGACTAACCCCCTCCTAATTTTGACTTATTTTCATTTTATCTTATAATTATGACTATCAAACTAATTTGACTTAACTTCCCCAACATCTCAGAAATTTGACATTTTTCATTTCAACTTTTGCCCTCATAATATGACTTTTATCTCCTAATTTTGACATTCTTTCTCATAAATTTCATAACTTTTTATATCATAATTATGACTTTTATTCATAATTGACTTAACTTCCCCCCTAATAATTATGAATTTTTATCTCCAAATTTTGACTTATTTTCATAATTTTGACATTCTTTGTCATGAATTTGACTTTTTTTTGTTTCAGCTCGACTTTTATTTGCATAATTATGACTAACCCCCTCCTAATTTTGACTTATTTTCATTTTATCTTATAATTATGACTATCAAACTAATTTGACTTAACTTCCCCAACATCTCAGAAATTTGACATTTTTCATTTCAACTTTTGCCCTCATAATATGACTTTTTATCTCCTAATTTTGACATTCTTTCTCATAAATTTCATAACTTTTTATATCATAATTATGACTTTTATTCATAATTGACTTAACTTCCCCCTAATAATTATGAATTTTTATCTCCAAATTTTGACTTATTTTCATAATTTTGACATTCTTTGTCATGAATTTGACTTTTTTTTGTTTCAGCTCGACTTTTATTTGCATAAGTATGACACCCTTCCTAATTATGACTTTTATTTCATTATTTTGACATTCTTTCTCATAAATTTGACTTTTAATTCAACTTTTTATCTCCCAATTATGACTTTATCTCTCCCAATACTAACTTTGTCTCATAATGTTGACATTCTTTCTCATATCTTTGACTTTTTCATTTAAACTTTTGACCTAATAATTATGAATTTTTATCTCCTAATTTTGACTTATTTTCATAATTATGAGTTTGTATCTTTTCATCTTATAATTATGACTATCTCCCCAACGCTTTCTAATAAATTTGACGTTTTTCATTTCAACTTTTGCCCTAATAATTATGAATTTTTATCTCCTAATTTTGACATTCTTTGTCATGAATTTGACTTTTTTTTATTTCAGCTCGACTTTTATTTGCATAATTATGACTCCCCCCCTCCTAATTTTGACTTATTTTCATTTTATCTTATAATTATGACTATCAAACTAATTTGACTTAACTTCCCCAACATCTCAGAAATTTGACATGTCACATTCATTTCAACTTTTGCCCTCATAATATGACTTTTTATCTCATAATTATGACTTTTATTCACATAATTTTGACTTCCCCCCCTCATAATTATGACTTTGACTTTTATTTCATTATTTTGACATTCTTTCTCATAAATTTGACTTTTAATTCAACTTCTTATCTCCCAATTTTGACTTTATCTTTCCCAATACTAACTTTGTCTCATAATGTTGACATTCTTTCTCATATCTTTGACTTTTTTCATTTAAACTTTTGACCTAATAATTATGACTTTTATCTCCAAATTTTGACGTTTTATCTCCAAATTTTGACTTATTTTCATAATTATGAGTTTGTATCTTTTCATCTTATAATTATGATTATGAATTATTATCTCCCCAACACTTTCTAATAAATTTGACGTTTTTCATTTTAACTTTTGCCCTAATAATTATGAATTTTTATCTCCAAATTTTGACATTCTTTGTCATGAATTTGACTTTTTTTTTATTTCAGCTCGACTTTTATTTGCATAATTATGACTAACCCCCTCCTAATTTTGACTTATTTTCATTTTATCTTATAATTATGACTATCAAACTAATTTGACTTAACTTCCCCAACATCTCAGAAATTTGACATTTTTCATTTCAACTTTTGCCCTCATAATATGACTTTTTATCTCCTAATTTTGACATTCTTTCTCATAAATTTCATAACTTTTTATATCATAATTATGACTTTTATTCATAATTGACTTAACTTCCCCCCTAATAATTATGAATTTTTATCTCCAAATTTTGACTTATTTTCATAATTTTGACATTCTTTGTCATGAATTTGACTTTTTTTTGTTTCAGCTCGACTTTTATTTGCATAAGTATGACACCCTTCCTAATTATGACTTTTATTTCATTATTTTGACATTCTTTCTCATAAATTTGACTTTTAATTCAACTTTTTATCTCCCAATTATGACTTTATCTCTCACAACACTGGCTTTGTAGGTCATAATTTTGACATTCTTTCTCATATATTTGACTTTTTTTTTTTTCCATTTAAACTTTCTCCCTCATAATTATGACTTTGTTTCTCCTTATTTTGACCTTTTGTCTCATAAATTTAACTTTATTTCAACTTTTTTCCCCCATAATTATGTCTTTTTATCTCATAATTATGACTTTGTAAGTCATACTTTTGACATTCTTTCTCATATATTTGACTTTTCTTTTGAGAAAAAAATATACAATCATAATTATGAGAATAAACTAAGCTTTCCCCCCTTATAATTATGACTTTCCATCTCATAATTTTGACTTTCTTTCCATAATACGTTTTAATTTCAATTTTTTATTTCACAATTTAGTTTTATGTCCCTCATAATTATGACTTTGTATCACCTTAATTTGACATTCTTTCTCATAAATCTGACTTTTTTATTTAAACTTTTTAATTCATCATTATGACTTTGTATCTCAGAATTTTGAAATTTTTCCTCATGAATTTAACTTTTTTGTATTTCAGCTTTTTATATCATAATTATGACTTTCTATGTCAAAATTTTTTGTGTTTATCTCACAATTTTGACTTTCTTTCTGATAACTTTTACTTTATTTCAACTTTTATCTCCTAATTTAGATTTTTTCCCCTCAATTCTTAGAACTGGTGTGTAGGACGGGAAATAAAAGGATTATTGTTTCATCGGATCTATTTACCTACTAACTGACCTTCAAGCTATTTTAAATCTGCTCTACTAATCTACCTTATTATGTGTACAGTATGATGAAGAGGAAGACTTGAAACTAGACCTTAAACTCATCAGGAAAGTATTTATTGAGGGAGTAAATCAGCTGAGAAGTAGAAACATTTTCTCAGAGACTTCTATACAATCACGCTTCTTTCTGCAGCCGCTGGAGTCGCCCCCTGCTGGCCGCTAGAGAGGACGCAGGCTTAAGTCGCCCCCTGCTGGCCGCTAGAGAGGACGCAGCTTTAAGTCGCCCCCTGCTGGCCGCTAGAGAGGACGCAGCTTTAAGTCGCCCCCTGCTGGCCGCTAGAGAGGACGCAGCTTGAAAGCGCCCCCTGCTGGCCGCTAGAGAGGACGCCTTCAGCTTGAAGGCGCCCCCTGCTGGCCGCTAGAGAGGACGCAGCTTGAAGGCGCCCCCTGCTGGCCGCTAGAGAGGACGCAGGTTTAAGTCGCCCCCTGCTGGCCGCTAGAGAGGACGCAGGTTTAAGTCGCCCCCTGCTGGCCGCTAGAGAGGACGCAGCTTTAAGTCGCCCCCTGCTGGCCGCTGGAGAGGATGCAGGTTTAAGTCGCCCCCTACTGGCCGCTAGAGAGGACGCAGCTTTAAGTCGCCCCCTGCTGGCCGCTGGAGAGGACGCAGGTTTAAGTCGCCCCCTACTGGCCGCTAGAGAGGACGCAGCTTTAAGTCGCCCCCTGCTGGCCGCTGGAGAGGACGCAGGTTTAAGGCGCCCCCTGCTGGCCGCTAGAGAGGACGCAGGTTTAAGTCGCCCCCTGCTGGCCGCTAGAGAGGACGCAGGTTTAAGGCGCCCCCTGCTGGCCGCTAGAGAGGACGCAGGTTTAAGTCGCCCCCTGCTGGCCGCTAG